AAAATATTCAGTTAGGCTTCCGCTTTTCCAAATCCGAATTGCCGGGCCTTACGCTTGACCCCTGCCAGCAGATTTTGTACAGCCACCTTGTCCACCTTCTTCGCCGCAGAAAGCCAGTTTGCTTTGAACTGCTGCTCGCCCTTAGCAGTTTTTTTGGTCTTCTTTAGATTCCGCTTGACAATAGCCCAGTATTTCTCAATTGGGCGGAGCTCTGGCGTGTTGGGAGGGTTCTTGTCCTTGGGAACCACCTGCACGTTGTTGGCGGCGTACCACTCCATGGCCTTTTTACCGTAATGGCAAGATGCCAAATCCGGCCAAAACAGTACGGAACAACCGTGTTTCTTCAGGAAAGGCAGCAGACGTTTATTCAAACACTCTTTCACGTAAATTTCTTGGTTGACAGTCCCGGAAGCTATGAAAATGCTGCTTTTCAAGCCACAGGTACAGATGGCTTGCCAAACCAGATATTTCTTTGCGAACTTAGACAGTTTCATGTGCTTGAAAACATCTGCTACCTTTCCCCTTCCTTTTGCCGTATAAAACTCCTGTCCCGGAAGCTGCTTGTAGTCGGCTTTGACGTAGGTTTCGTCGTCCATTACCACGCAGTCAAACTTCGTCAGCATCGTCGTGTACAACCTCCGGGATCGCGCTTTGGCCGTCGTATTTTGTTTATCATCGCGATTTGGAGTCACTACCTTCTTGTAAGTCGATAGTCCGGCTCGTTTTTTGGCTCGATGCACGGTTGTAGACGATACACCCAGCTTATTTGCGGCATCTCGGAGAGAGAGGTTAGGGTTTCGCTTGAAACTACCGGCAACTCTCTTTGTCGTCTCAGCGGCTTCCGGTTTTCGATTTCCCCCCGATCCAGACTTCCTGGCTGTCGACAAACGTTCCCCAAACACTTTAATTACATTTGTAACGGTTGATTTGGCAACTTTTAGCGATTTTGCCAACTTTGCGTTCGAGTAGCTCGGATTTTCGCGATGCGCGAGCAAAATTTTGATACGCTGCTCTTCTTGCTTGGACGGCATTTTGACAACTGAAGAGTGAATTCCAAAATCAAAATAGGAGCAACATTCTACACACACACACCTTCAAAATGAGGGGTGTTCAGGTTTTTTAAATGCAAAATTGAAAGAAATACGTCAAGTTGATATTGACCAAATTTTGACCGTATCACCCTTTACAGGCAAAAATTAGCTGCATAAGGCAAATTTTGGCTGTATAAGCTAATCTACAGCTAAAATTGTTTGTTGGGAAGCTTAGAGGAAATCAAAATTACGGAACCCATGGATTGGAGGATCAAATTAACATGGTGAGACCAGTCCAAATACATTTTACAATTTAAAAACATAAACTAAATACGTGCCTGGTTTGAAAAGAATATATTCGAACCTGGAAGCGTGTATGTAAGACCAATATCTATTTGATAACGGTGATGCATACATGCGGCGCTTATTGTAAGTGAAAGTAACCTCAGAATGGGCGTGACTCTCCAGACATTGGGAAATGGGTTGCTGGATCTGCAATAGAGCTTTCACCTTTTAACTCCCGAACTAAAGCTGTCTACAATGACCATAAATGCGACATTGTAGGGAGAGCTCTTCCATAATAACACTGCTGGCCAGTGGGGGTTAGAGGGAATACACACACACACACACACAACATGTTTAAAAAATCTAAGAAAATCTGGAACATATTTAAACAATCTGGAAATATACGAGGTCTGTCTGTGTATCTGGAAAGATGACTAAAAATCTGAAAAATCCAGATAAATCTGGAATACTGGCAACGCTGCGTGGCAATAGTTAAATCGTTTTTCAGTCGACATAGAATTCCATACTTCTTGGCAATTTTCTTGATGACATCCCAAGTAACATTGTAAGTTTTATAGTGGTTTTAAAGCATGCTACAAAAATTATGGTCTACAGAACCCTCATAAAACGGCGACGGTGGTGTAGTGGTAAGCGTGATTACCTCTCACCCCAGCAGGCCTGGGTTCAATCCCAGTCGGCGCCGCCGGGATGTTCTGAGGCATAACATCTCTGATCACGCCTTCCTTCGGATGGGAAGTAAAGCCGTTGGTTCCCGGTTCATGAGTTGATGGGTCGATAGGTAGGGTCCAGGTGTGGGAGCTGCCTTCCTGGCACGTCGGTAGCATTGGTGCTCAGCACGGAAAACAAGATCGACGGAAAAAACAAACCAAAGGAAAAAAAAAAAACCCTCATAAACCAAAATTGTTACTTGGGATTGTCAATTAGAGAGTTTGTGTCATTAATAATCACACCAAAATATTTAATCTCCCGATCGTGATCAATAGTCTCATCATCAATTACAACGGAGACGTTCTCAATTACTCCATTCCGCGGAAATTACCATGAATTTAGTTTTACTTACATTCAATCTCAATTGCTAATAGGGGAAATGGATGTTATGTCGGCATAAATGCCTCTAATTTGGGCCCATACATAAATTCAGAAATGGACTAAATTTTCAATAGCGACCTAAAATATCTATTAGTACCGTCTCAATGACTCGTTCATCTAGATAAAATTGATAAATAGCAGATTTTTAGCGATGGGCCCGATCTTAGATTCATAGGCCAACATTAGAGCCATTTTCCCTACTTCACCCATCTACTTAGAGATCGTAAATCTTCATGCCAGTGTAATAGAGAGGACTTGAGGGTCTAGTATAAAAGAGGAGCGGATTGAAAACAAACTGTCTTGGCAACTGTACCTAGATGGTTTCTAGCAACACTGTCAATTCAATCAAGATAGGTGCTGATCGATTGACTCTGACTTTGACAGTTTGTTTGGCTCAAAACCATCCTCCCTTAATCTAGACCCTCTCTAGAGAGGACCAGTACTGCTCATAAACGCATAACAGTATTTTATCTTTCATCTGGGATCTTATGGCTGAGGCAACCATATGTTCTTATTGATTACGATATTTTCTGAACAAAACAAGTAAATCTACGAACGCATGGAAAATATAGGTATTTAGCAATCGAATCCACCTCCTTGATATGTTTTCCGTCGATCTTGTTTTCCGTGCTGGGATTGAACCCAGGCCTTTGGGGTGTGAAGCAATCACGCTTACCTGCAATCGAATCCAATGGATGACTCATTTTCCCTAAAAATGCACATGGGACTGTTATGCGTTTATGGGTAGAGCACTCCTCTTCAAAGAGTATAAATGGCTAAACCATGATTTCAAAATGTAAAGTCAATTCTCAAACGTGTGACATCTGACAAAAATAAATGTCACACGTGCCGATCAAAAGCAGCCCTTTTTTTAATGTGCTGCTAGATTATGAAAAAAAATATTGAAACATAAACAGGTAGACAAATGCCAACGAAAAAAAAAATGATTCCAAGGCACGTTGAAATTTACATCAATCACAACGCATTCGTTTAATCAGCCAAGTGGAAATCAAATAAATCATTACTGGCGCGGCATGCTCTCTCCGTTTTCTGCCTTTCCATACCGGGGCACTGATTTCACGCTGATTCTGCTACCAGGATCAGTGGGTTGCAGCCAACCAATTCTCCGTCGCCGCCGCAAGGGTTAATACCGGTCGGTACCGAGCGGAAAACCCGAGTAATAAAGCCCCGAAGCGTCTCGCTATGGAAAATTTCCAACCAAACAGAACCAGAAACAGTCAAGCACAGAGATAAATTGGCGCAATTGGCACGATCGGAAAACAGCCAACCAGCCATCCAGCGTGCGGAGGAAAATTCAAAGGAGAAAATCAGTCTAGCGCCCACTTTGTGCCCCCTCGCCAGCGAATATCGCAATCGCATCACCACTCTCTCGCGGGATATTACAAATTCATTATGTTGATAGAATCATCATCGTTTTGATTTTGTATTTACACATAATTTGAATTTTAAATATAACGTAACACCTCGCTTTTACGTGCAGGGTCTGGCTCCTGCCAGCTGCCATCGTCAAACAAGCGTGGTCGGCCACCGCCCGCAGGGATGGAAAAAGTGGCCACAGCATTTACACACACTCACACGATCCTTCTATAGGTAGCTATCTAGCGCTCTCCAGTTGTCTGGCAGATTTCAAGGAGAGAGAAAAAAAATGCGGGAATAATATTGATTCTGGTGGTTATGCTGGGAAGTTTTGCTCCGATAACAGCCAAATGATTTTTCATTGGAATAATTATGATAATTTTTGTTATTCTATCGGTAGATTATCACACTGCTCTGGTTTCGCTTAAGGTAGGAGAGTGAGGCTTCCATTTTTTTTGCTTTCTGTTTTTCTATAAAATTTTCAACTTGTACTGAACGCATGCTCTCATCTTCGAAATTCGAGAGCCCATAATTGCTACCCGGCCTTACTTACCAATTATTGTATTTTCAGCTCAATTCCGGAAAAAAAAATCCCGTTAAAAATAATCACGATTAATTTTAAGGAATTTCCTGTATATCTTCTGCTACAATAAAATTTAAAACACTATTCTGATTTGCCTAGAAATCAATGCTCAAAAAATAAAAATTACTCTTTTAGAAAACAACACAGCTAAGATTGTGGTTGCAGTAACAGTGAAATTTAATGTATTTTCATTGGATTGTTTTGTAAATTGGAATTTTTAAGGATTATTTAAACTAGCGTAATGTTACGGTATAAGCTAGATTAAATGAGCATTTCAATAATTTTCAGATTTCCGACCGTCATGGCAAGTCCTGCTCTGTTGGTGGCTTCACATACATACACACATTTTAATAATTTTCAGTCTCATTCACAAGTCGGAACAGACTTTTCACTCCGAAAAAAAATGTGGAACGAACGTTCATTGAAATTCTTGTCACGATTCGTAGTGCGGGAAACCACACAAGGACGTATCCTTTTTCCGATGAAGGATTGTCTCCGGTTTTTCTGTATTCTTTTTTGTTTGCCTCGCAACCCATTTGTAACCACTATTCAGTGTATCCCTTCCCTTGAGAGACTAAGTGGCAATTATTGACCTTCTGTCGTATTCCTTTCAGGTGGCGCCGGATTTCTCGGTCAACATTTGATCAAAACCCTGCAGGAACGTGACCCAAAGGTGCGCGAGATTCGTGTCGTCGATTTGAAGCCATACGAGAATATACTCGGTAAGAAGACCGCCAAACCACATCAAGCTGCTGACTGCGGCGATGATGGAGTGTGCAATATTGGATGTCATTTCTTCCCTTCTTCCCATCCAACAGGCCACATCGACATCCACAAGGTCGTCTCGTACGTGGGTGACATTTGCGAACCGTCCAAGATTGAGTCCGCATTCGAAGGTGTCGACTGCGTGTTTCACATGGCGGCGTACATCAACTTTGACTTCCCGCCCAACCATCAGGAGTTGCAGCGGGTTAACGTCGACGGTACGCGGGTGGTGATTGACCTGTGCCGGAAGTACAGCGTGCCGAGATTGGTGTTTACCAGCGATTGTCTGATCCACATGACACCGTACATGGGCAGGGCTAATTTTACGATTGTTTGCAATCAGACCGAACCGAAGACGAAAGTACCGGCCAAGGAGAGCGAGTTTCAAATTCCCGGCTATGCACCGTCCAAGCTGAAGGCGGAAAATTTGGTGCTCGGGGTGAACGATACACCGCTGGAAAATGGAGGTAAGTAGGGGATAATTACAGGCACAGAACAGAAGGGGAACTATGGATCAAAAGTGGCTCCATTTTTCATTGGCAAACACTAATACTAGTGGTAGAAGGCATCTTCTTCCTGCAGTTAAGATAGGCAGCATGCTATGATAGTGTAGTGCGCATAGAAAGCCCGTGTGGAACGCTACCACAACGCATCGCTTGTTGATTCACCGATTTGTTTGCACTTCCCCTTCTGTTCTGTGCTGCAGGTGTAACCAGGGTGAGTTGAGATGGAATCTGACTCATATTTGAGTTCCGTTCATTTCGGAACTTTTTCTCATATCCAGAAAAACGAGGAAAATGTTATTCAGTCTATGAATGACCTACCTAGTGATTTTGAGTTAAAAAAAAAACACTCAACTGTCGATCTCACCATCAATGTGTAGTGTAGTGCGTTTTCACGAAAAATGTATATTCAAGCTGGTGGAATCTTGTGGGCACTAAGGTGGGGCTAAGTTTTCAAAACCGTTCCGACACGGGTTTCCCATGTGTAAAATGATTATTGGGACTAATTATGTATCATATCAAAGAATAAGCTTTTTAATTAATATTTAAAGGTGGCACAAGGGATCTTTCTCCAAAATATCAAACGGTGAACTTTTTCAATTAAGACATATTGGATCATTCCGCGCCAGGTGACTGAGAAAAATTACAAAAGTGAAATTGGCTTCTTTCGATTTGGACCAAAGTTGGAGGAGCCACTAATTTCAGACTAACTTTTAAAAAACAAAAAAAATGTGCCGATCGGAGCACCGCTCGGCCCAAGGGTGCATTTCCTATGTTAAGTGAATTTCAAGTTAGTGCCGGCGCCGGTGGTGTAGTGGTAAGCGTGACTACTTTCTCACCACAATGGATCAGAATTCAATCCCAGCCGAGATCGGTGGTATTTTTCTGAGGAATTAAAATCTCTGGTCACGTCTTCCTTCGGAAGGGAAGTAAAGACGTTGGTCCCGGCCAATGTGTGTTGAATGGGTGCGATATCCCACAAAGGTGTGGAAGCTGCTTTCCTGCACATTCGATTGCCGTCAATGGATGGCAATTGATGTCCGTCGGTGATTGGCACTAGATTGCGGAACAGAGACCGACGTTAAATAAAGCAAATAAGAAGCAAAAATGATACAGGCATCGAAAGCTCTCAATTAATAACTGTGCAAGTGCATCTAGAACACTAAGTTGAGAGGACGCAATAAGCTAAAATGCGATAAGCTTTTCTTACTTACTTACTTACTTACTTATCCTGGTCCGACACCCCTAAGGATTGCACCTGCATCCGATCATCGTATCACCTTCCTTCTGGTGGATTCTTTTCACCGGCGGTTCCTTCACGCCAACGGAGAAACAGGCTTAAATGAACTACGGCAAGGGTTCTACATACCGAAGCTTCGGACTCTCGTACGTAAAGTCAGCAGAGCTTGTCAACACTATAAAGTGCAGAAAGCTGCTCCGGTGCCACCGCTGAAGGGACCACTGCCAAAGGTACGGTTGACACCATTCATTCGGCCGTTTACTTACGTCGGCGTCGATTACATGGGACCTTTCGAAGTCAAAGTCGAACGCAGCGTGGTGAAGAGGTGGATTTGCCTGTTCACCTGTCTCACAGTGAGGGCGGTTCACCTGGAGCTGGCACACAGCCTTTCAACGACTTCCTGCGTGATGGCCTTCAGGAGATTCGTGGCCCGGCGGGGCGCACCGTTGGAGGTCTTTTCCGATAACGACACGAGCTTTGTAGGAGCGAATCGCCAGTTGTCTGAAGAGAAGCAGAAGATCCAGGACATCGTCGAGGACTGCGCTGCCACATTCACCAACGCGAACACCCAGTGGCATTTCAACGTTCCAGCGGCTCCGCACATGGGAGGTCCATGGGAGCGTATGGTCAAGTCCGTGAAGGTAGCGATGAAGGCAGTATCGGATAGTCCGCGTCATCCAAGCGATGAGGTGTTGGAAACGATGTTGGAGGCTGAAGCGATCGTCAATTCGCGACCGCTGACCTACGTTCCCTTGGAGGCAGCAGACGAAGAGGCACAAACGCCAAACCACTTTCTGCTGTATGGGTCAACCGGTATCAAGCAACCAGCAACCGAACTTGTGAACGGTAACATCCTTCGAGACAGCTGGAAGCTTGCGCAGCACATCGTGGACGAATTCTGGCGCAGATGGGTACGAGAATATCTCCCGATGCTAAAGAGGCGTACGAAATGGTTCGATGCAGTGAAGCCGCTGGAACCAGGCGATCTAGTCGTGATAGTCAACGAAAATTCGAAGAATCATTGGGAGCGAGGACGTATTTGTGAGACCTTTCCGGACAAATCTGGGCAGGTGAGGCGTGCTACGGTGCAGACAGCTAGAGGAGTGTTCGCTAGACCTGCGGTGAAGCTGGCGGTTCTGGACGTGGCGAGCAACGACAGGAGTATGGAAGTAGTCGCTTCGGAAGCGGAAGTGGTTCACGGGTTGGGGGATGTCGCCGATACCCCTCGACGTGGCGAATTGTGGGTAAACCAACTGGCCGAACCCTCGCGAGCGAAACGCCAGTCCCGGGCGAAGCGAATGACAGATTGAATGTGAAGAAACGCATACAGTTGTAGACCCATACGATTAATCAGCGCTATTGAAGTTTGTTTCGGTTTCTTTGTGAGGAAAAATAAAGAAGTGAATTCTAGTGAGGTGAAAAAGCTTATAAGTTTAGGGATTAATAATTGAAGAATTGTGATTTAAAACGTTTATTGTAATTACAGTTCGATTCGTATTTTATAATTTCGTGGTTTTCCACGTAGTAAGTGGATCATTCATTAGAATTGAGGTATGTTTTTCCTAAAATTAGAATAATAGTACTTACCTTGTTTGTTGCCTAACCTAAAATGGACCTAAATACCTGCCGTTGGTTATCGATCGTGTCGGAATTGTCCATCCGTGGTAGACGGTGACAAAGAAGAAGAACGCTGAAAATGTAAGATTATTGTATTATACTTACCTTTGTATCTTAACTAATGTTAACAATTAAATTACAGCTTTGAAGCTGCTAAGTTTGCAACTAAAAAGACGGTGTTTGTTCATGTTACGCCAATTCACTCGGTCCGTGGCTTCTTGCCTCCAATTTCTTGACCGTCCCACATTTCCAAGATCCTGTTCCACTTGGATCATGGAACTTGAGAAAAGAAAATTAATTGTGCACAAACATCTAGAGAACCCTTCGTGGTCTGCCTCAAAAATAGCAGAGTGTTAAATTCCCAAAGTCAACGGTTAGTCTTGTAATCAAACGTTACAAGAATACTCTGGGTGTGGATAGAGCACAGCGCATCTATCATAAAAGTGGCACTAGAGACAAAGAGCTGAGGAGAAAGGTGTTGAGGTACGTGAAAAGCAACCCAGCTGTCTCCATACGTGATTTGGCAAAGAAATACGATTCCAACTTTTCCACCGTGCGTTACATCCTTTCAAGAGAAGGATATAAGTCATTTTGTGCCAGTAAATATCCGAATTGCTCTCTGAAACAAAATTTAGTGGCCTAAAAGCGAGCACGATTACTATACGAACGAGTTTTGACTAAATTTGATGGCTGTATTTTAATGGACGAAACATATGTCAAAATGGATTATAAACAAATCCCCGGACGAAAATTTTACCTAGCAACTGGTCGTGGGGATGTCCCTTCCAGGTATAAATTTGTTTTTGCTGATAAGTTTGCTCGGAAACTAATGACTTGGCAAGGAATCTGCAGTTGTGGCCTTAAAACCACACATCTCACACAATGACGTCGAATCTTTTTAATTTTAGTTGGTTCAAATGTGACATAAATTTGGATCTAGATCAGACCACCGCTAAAGATGCCCTTAAGGGCAGTATAAAATCTAGACTGTTTGAAAACGCAGCCATTACGACATTTTTTGAGAATTTGTATTCAAAATTTCACTGTATAAGGCTAAGAGCAGTGCTGAGATTTTTCATTGTCACTGACAGACTTTCGCGCGATATTGATTAAATTGTTCGTCACATAGTCACTGACAGACTTGATCCTCAAAAAAACCTTCGTCAAAATCTCATTCATTTTTTCGTCAATGACAAAGATTCGTCCGGTAACAAAAAGTGTAATTTAGTACATTCTGTGTCACATTATTGTTATCCAAGTAGCTCAGGACGTAGATACTAATTCACTAAAATGGATCCATGTAATTGTTTTGCTCAAGTCATTTAATTTCGTTAAAAATTTAGCTAATAAATAAATCTGCACATGTTCGTCACTGACAGCATTGTCATTGACAATTGACATGGTTTGCCTTGACTATGACTGCTGGCTCCAATGAGTGACCAAAGCAGAATTGTCAATATCACCGTGTACTGTCGAGATTTTGCAGCACTGGCTAAGAGTGTATATAATCACAGCAGGCATTGGTTGAGAAATTAAAGCCGTTGTTACCAGGCCCATGTGTGTTGAATGGGTGCGATATTAGACTGATGCAAAATTTGACTTTTTCGCTCCACAGTGCTTAAATGGTTTCAAATCGGGTCCTGATTAGCCTCTCAAAGTTACAACTCATTTGGTTAAAAACAGACGTCGCACAAGCCATTTGAAGTTTACATGTAAATTACTATGGGAAATCTCAACTTTTTTGTTCATTGCCTTCTAGTCTTTTTCCATATTGAGCTGCGAAACAGTTCGATAGCCATTCTTATAGAAAATTTTCTCAGCTACAATTTTGCTGAAGATTGTTTCTATGTAAAACGAGACAGGAAAAAGTTATTAATTATTTAAGAGATTGGTAAACTTATGACATGATCAAGCAGCTGCTCTGTAGGCAACACTGTATTTTGCAGTGTGACATAGTAGCCATGATTTGTGTGTCCTATTCAACGCCCCAGAAACAACAATGTTGCCTGCTGAGCAGTTGATTGAGCATGATCATAAGACATCAGCGCATTGAACCATTGATAACTTTCGATCCTTGCATTTAATTAAAAAATGGTCTTCAGCAAAG